TCCCTGTTTGCGGATAATCTCACAATAATGGTAGAGACCACACACTGCAACATGGAGGAAATCCAACAAAAGATCGAAAAGTTTGCTAAGGTTTTCGACATGACGGTCAACTGGGGGTTCAAGACACAAGGATGGTGAATTCACTATCAAGGGGGACGCCCTCCAGAATCACCATGCATTACATGGATGCCTTTAGAGGCCCCAGTAAGAAACTCTGGGGGTATCCATCACCACAGAAGGACGTCCACCAATCAATGACGAATGGATCAACACCCCGCTTCGCTCATCGTCCACAACCTTTTTCTCTCCTCCTACCTCCCTCTTCACCCATCTTCCACAACCTTTTTTTCTCCTCTCCTCCCCACTCGCCATCTTCTACTAATCTCATCTACTCCTCTCCACCTTTTCTGTATCCTTCTCTCCCATTCTACCACCCTCCTCTCCCTCTTCCCCCCCCTAACAACAACCCCATCATTTCCCCTATCTCCCCCGTCACCCTTTTTCTCTTTCTCACCTATTTCTCTCTTTTCTTTTTACTTTTTCATCCCCCTTCCCCACCAACTTCGAAAATTTTCTGTTTTTCTTTTTTTTATCTTTCTTTTGATTTATATTTCCTCCTTTTTCCAAAATTTTGAATTATCTTATTTCCCACCTTCTTTTCTCATTTTCTAATTTATTTCATTTTATTTTTTTTTTTTTCTAAAAATCCGAATTTCTTTGCGGCACCCTCAAATCTGATTAGGAGTTAGTCATTCTTGCTTTCGGCACACATTTTGACCCCGTGGGGTTACGAAGTGCTGCCGAAATTTTTTTTTTTTTTTTTTACTTAGTCTTTTCAGCACATTTTGACCCCTTCGGGGTAGCGAAGTGTTGGCAAAATTTTCTAATTTTACTTAGTCTTTCTTGACGACACTCTTCGACCCCATAGGGGTAACGAAATGCTATCAAAATTTTTGAAAAAAAACAAACTTACACTTAGTTTCTCTTCACCCCCCTCATCTACTTATTTATTTATTTATTTTTTTGAAAATTATCATTTGCGGCATTGTAAAACTGTGTGCTTCTCTTAGTCCCTCCTTCCTCTTTGCACCTTTGTGACCCCGTTGGGGTAGGAAAATGCTGCAAAAAATTCTAAAAAAATAAGTATTATTTATCTTCTCACCTTTTGCTTATTTCTTTCTTTCTTTATTTTTATTATTTTTTTTTAATTATTTTTATCTCGAAATTTCATTGTTTATTTTATTTTCTCTCCCCCTCCCTTCCATGGTTATTATTTTCTTTTCTTAATTAGGTCGCCGCTACCCTCCCCTAACCACCCGAACCCCGGTCAAGGTTTTCTTAGGGTTTTACTAGGGTTTAAGGTTCTCCTAACCCCCCTACTCCCTCGCCTCCTCCGGTCGGGCATCCTGGACCCGAACGACTCCTCTCCCCTCGACTGGATTCGCATCACCATCTCACGCGCGACCCATTAGTCACGGGGCGAGCCGACACACGACTACCCACTTCGCTCTCGCGGTCCCCTCCCTCTCACCGGTGGTCCCCTGTCCCCATACCACAATCTATCCTTCCCGGCACCTCCTACATTGTCTACCTCTCTTCCTCCACCGACAGGGCTACAACTAAGCAACTCGTCGCGACGCCGTCCACCTCTCACGCGTCCACCCACCCGACGGTCCAGGGTCAGCCCTTTGTGAATCCCACGGACCTTCGCGCTGTCCTTGCGTCTCTCCTTGCACCTCTACAAGCGTGACTCGATGCGCTTGCACCCCTGGAGAGGCAATTCAATGCGCTCGCCCTTGAAGTTCACCGCCTCAAGGGTTCTCCTCATCGCTCTCCCCACCGTTCTCATACCCCATCCCCTACAGGCTCGGAGTCCGGCTCTCCACGACTCCAGGGACGGAGACGTGGCAGTTCATCCTCCTCCTCGGGTCAGGTCCAACACTCCCTCTCCGCAGTGGTGAGTGCCGCAGTCGCTCAGACCATACCATCTATTGCGGCACATCCATTGGCCCCCACCGCTCCAGCCACCCCGGCCGCTTCGGCCATTGCCGCATGTGCTGTCGCCCAGATACCGGTATCTGGCTAGGCAGTTTCATCTACCCACCCCGGTGCTGCTTTCCAGCTTCCTGCACTGGTAGCGACACTGCGGCCTCGAGTTCTTCCTCCTGCTAGGGTACTCTCTCCGCCCCCTCCACCTCCGACCTCGCGCACCCAACGGGCGGCTACCCTACAGGCCAACGTGGCGCAGCTCCAGGCGAGATTTTATCCCTGAGACAGCCTCACCCTTCACAGGCTGCTCGCCCTTCTTCTTCTTACACCGCCCCTCCTACCTCTGTCTTGCCGGCTTGTTTCCCTCGACCGGCTCCGCCCCCTCTACCCTACTACCTCGGTACTCCATCACAGTTGGTTGCGGCTGTTGCCTCCACGTCTGTTGGACCGTCCACCAGAAGCCCCGTCTCTCAGCCTGCTACCACTTCCACGTCTGCACCGGCCTCGACATTTGTCGCCGCAGTGCAGGCCCCTTGACCTCTTTCCCCTCGTCGTCAGCACAGCGGTCCCACCCTTGTGCGTCTGTCGGAGATACCCGACTTCGATGGTACTATGCGTATGTCGCACTGGTTGCAGGTTGCCACACGTGCGCTGACACAGACTAACACTGGTCAGGAGTTGTGGTGCTCCGCGCTCGCAACTAAATTGCGAGGGAGCGCGTTCTCCGCATGAGAGAACTATTATATCCATCGTACTCGCTCAGGTGAGGCTCCCACTCTTGCGGATTTCACCGCGTTCCTCCATGACCGCTACGGCATCCTCCACGACGCGACTGACGTCTTAGACCGGGTCACGCAGACACAGTGGCGCGGGTCCTCCGCACCAGCCGATCTTGAGCGTCACATTAGAGTGTTTCAGGATGCCCGCCTCATTTGCGATGAGGCACTTCTACCGGAGGTCCTTTTGACCAACAGGTTTGTAGTCAGTCTCTCGACTGACTACCGCATCGAGCTCTGGTGACAGACCTCCGCCTCCTCATAGCAGGCCTACGAGGCTGCTCGACATTACCAGAAAATGCGGAGTCGCTTCTCCGACGCCTCATCTTCCTCGCGATTCACTGCCGCCGCCACCCAGTCACGCGGTACCATGCGCGGTCGATCCTCCTTCGCCGGCCGCTTTTGCCGACCAGCTCGACCTGGAGCGCCATTCTCTCGGCGCTACAGTTCTCTAGAGTACGGCGAGGATGCCTCGATAGAGTTTGACCCTACCTTTGGGGACGCCCCCGAGGACATTGAGCTCCGAGACGTCATCCAGTATCACATGGATGACAACACTGTTCCAGTGGGCGAGCGTCTGCAGATGGCCATGTCCGCTATGGGTCGTGCACGCAGCCGGGTTACACAGGCTGGCACCCGCACGTCCACGGTTCCTCAGATCGATCTCCCGTAGGGTTTTGTCCCTCCTCGCGGAGCTGTATCCCTTGAGGAGCGTGCCACCCTCGAGGCCCGTTGCGGCTGCCTTCGTTGCCGCCAGGATGGACACACCTCCTCACGGTGTCCATACCATGCTGCCCTCGATCGACACTACGCTGAGGCCTCGCACGTAGCGGACTTCCCGACCACCGAGTCACGGTTTGCCCCTTTGGCTACTCACCCAGAGGATCCTCGGGACACGACAGACGCAGTTCCCTCTGCCCCTTCGTCTGTCGAGGTACCGTCTGGCCCTCAGCAGATCGCCGCATCTAATCCTTCCCCTCCGACACTTCCGACGCGTCGCGCCATTCACACAACTCATTGTAGTGCCCAACTGGCGATCCACGATGACGTTGTGTCATCTCTCCTGGATTTGAGCATCCTTCAGGCTCGCCAGGAGTGACTCACGAGACACGTAAATATCCTGCGTCGTCTTCTCGCTCTACTCTCTGACCCTGATCGCACCCTCCCCATTATTTCTATTCGCCTAGGAACATTTACAAGGGTGTACCACACTTTATGGGACTCTAGCTCGCAGGGAGATTTCGTTCATCCTCGAGTGGTCGAGGAAGCTCGCCTAGCTACCTCAGGGTCTAGCTCTCATATCTCCATTACCCTCGGAGATAATGCAGCGCTTCTTCGATCAGACGGTTCCTAATCTCCACTTCTCCCTCACCCTCTAGCCATCGGATAGTACCGAGGCGCTTTGGCGCTACCATTCCTCCACATACTTCGACGTGCTGGAGACTAGGTATGACTTTATCATTGGCACCCCCTGGTCTCGCCGGTTCCCTTACACAGAGGCCGAATGGGCGACTGAGACACTCGTTCTCAAAACGAAGTGTGGTCAAACCCATCGAGTCCTCTTCATTGGAACCACGGGCGATACCCATCCAGACCTACCTCCATAGGACCCTCGTCCATCTGGGTCCCACCCAGACATCACCTTCACTTCTCCTCGTCAGTTTGCTCACTTCATACGACAGGAGCACATCACGTTCTACTCAATGAACGTCATGGATCTTCTTCGCTACGATCCACTCTGTCTTGAGGTCAAGCTCATCTCATTGGAGCCTGATCTCCCTGACCCTTCCTCCATCTTCGCGGCTCCCATCTCCACATCCACCCGTCAGCCTGCGGATACCCCCTTGACATCCCAAGTCCCTTCGCCGATCACTGTCGAGTCCACCCATATGTCTCGTGTCGGCGCAGACATTGAGGAACTCGTGCGGTTCACGACCGACTTATAACCCGCCCTTCGTGATTTGATTCGAGAGTATCGCGACATTTTCCCCCCGTATTTCTCATACAACGGGATCCCTCCCATGCGCGGTGTTGAGCATTCTATCCAGCTCGTGACTGACTATCGTGTCCACCATCAGACACCCTACTGATTCTCGATTTCAGAGGCGACAAGACTCAAGCGTCAACTTGAGGAGCTCCTTCGACTGGGTTTCATTAAACCCAGTAACTCCCCTTGGGGTGCACCCGTCCTCTTTGCTCGCAAAGCGGACAGAACTTTTCGCCTCTGCATTGACTAACGTGGTCTTAACCGTTACACGGTTAAGAACAACTATCCCATGCCTCTTGCGGATGAGCTGTTTGACCGTCTGGCAGTCAACCGCTTTTTCACGAAGATCGATCTTCGTAGCGGTTACCACCAGATCCGCGTAGCCACAGAGAATCAGTCGAAGGTCGTTTTTCGGTCGCGCTTCGGCCACCATGAGTTCACGGTGATGCCATTCGGTCTCACCAATACACCCGCCACCTTCGAGACGGCGATGAACGACATCTTCAGGGACATCCTTGAAGAATACGTTCTCGTATACCTGGACTACATTCTGGTCTACAGTCGTACCTTAGAAGACCATCTCAGAAACCTTCTCGATGTCCTACAACGCTTACTCAAGCATGACTTTTATGCCAAGCTTAGTAAGTGCCGCTTTGCTCAGAGCAAAGTGGACTTCCTAGGACACCAGGTGTCTGACCAGGGTCTCTACATGGACGAGGCGAAGATCACTCCTATTGCAGAGTGATCCGTTTCAACATTTGTCAAGCAGATTCACAGTTTTTTAGGCCTCACTAGTTACAATAGTAATTTCATCCAGGGATACGCTAGGTATTCCTACGTCCTTACCTCCACCCTCCTCCGGAAGAAGCCGTCGTGGTTTTGGACACGCCTGTGCGAAGACGCCTTTCACGCCCTCAGGAAGGCGGTGACTTGTGCGCCGGTTCTTCGCCTAACCGATTTTGATCGCCCTTTTATCGTCACTACTGATGCGTCAGATTTTGCAGTAGGAGTTGTACTTTCTAAAGTGTTTCCCTCTCCTCACGATTCACCTTATCCTCATGTTCCTCCTTTCTCCCCCCCCTCCCGCTGACACTACTTCTCGACTGACGCCTACCCTCCCACCTCTTTCGTCCACTGACAGTCCTCCCGTTACTTACTCCTCGACCATCGCGGAGGATAGGACTGTCGAGGCTCGTGCTGGGGATTGCCCGATCGCCTTCTACTCCCGTCAGCTACTGCCTGCCGAGATAAACTACACTACCGATGAACGTGAGGTTCTCGCCGTATTTTATGTTACCCGCCATTGGCGTCACTACCTGCACGGGGCACCCTTTACGGTGCGCACGGACAACTCAGTTGTCCAGACCTTCCTCACGAAGCCCAAACTTTCCCCTCGATAGACACGTTGGTGGCGTGACTTATCCGAGTTCAGTTTCACCACTCAGCCCATCAAGGGGGAAACGAACCGCGCGGCCGATGCCTTGTCCCGCCGTCTTGATCACAATCAGGAACCCATCCATCTTGCTGCCATTTCCATCACCATTATTGATCAATCGGTGATCGACGCATATCGCACTCAGTACCGCCACTGCCCGGATTATCGCGTCATCCATGCGACATGGTGGAGTGGCTAGATCGTTCCCTCATACTCACTCGGTGAGAACGGTCTCGTGTACTGTCATAGCAGATCTGGTCAGCCAGAACCACGTATCTACATTCCCTCCACCGGACAGCTCCGTGTCTAGGTTGTAGCAGAGTTCCATGACCAGGCAACTGCCGGTCATATAGGCTTCCATAAGACGTTGGCTCGTGTTTGTCGCCTATACGTCTGGCCAAAGTCCAAGGACTTCGTCAAAGCCTACATCCGGGAGTGTCCTACCTGCCAGGAGGTGAACAGTGCGAATCACCTTCTGTATGGGTTACTTCAACCCTTACCCATACCCGAGGGTCATTGCCAGTCCATCTCGATGGATTTCATTGGTCCCCTCCGCCCACCCACTGAACGAGGTCATGATGCTATTTTGGTCGTCGTCGATCGCTTCACGAAGAGTGCACGTTTTGTCCCGTGTCGCTATCGCATTAGCGCTCGTGAGGTCGCCGACATCGTCTTCGACCGAGTCGTGAGATATCACTTTTTACCTCATAGCATCATCTCCGACCGTGATCCGCGCTTTACCAGCACATTCTGGCAACACCTACACGAGGTGTGCAGATCCCAGCTCCGCTTCTCATCGTCTTACCACCCTCAGGCAGATGGTAAGACTGAGGTCACCAATAAAACTCTCGGTAATATCCTCCGAAAGTTCGTTAGGGATGACAAGCATTGGGACTTACACTTCGCCCACGCGAAGATTACGTACAACCACCCTGTTTCACCAGCCACGGGGATGTTACCATTCTATTGCGACCTCAGCTACCACCCTCGCGTACCCGCGGACTTCCTACGACCATCGCGGTTGCGCCCAGACACTCGTTGTTCTGCGCTTGACGACTGGATCGCCCACATGGCGGCGATTATGAAGCGTGCACACGAGAGTCTAGACGACTCCCAGACTCGCATGGCCGCACGAGCAAACCGATCACGAATGGATCATCTATTCAAAGTCAGTGATGATGTGCTCGTTAATGCACGCCACTTGCAGCTCGAACGGATACGCTTCGCAAGTTCAGGCGTCGTTTCTTCGGTCTATGTCGCATCCTTCAGGCCGTCGGTTCTGATACTGCCGCTAGTCCGGTCAGCTTCCGTGTAAAGCTACCTGATTACCTTCGACAGGCTCGCGTACACGATGTTTATCACATCTCCTTGTTGCGTCCTTATCGCAGACTGTTCAAGCGCTTCGTCGGACGTCCTGATGAGCGCCCTCCAGGGCCTCCACCTCTCATGGTGGACGGTCACGAGGAGTTCGTTGTTTGCGACATCGTATCTCGCCGCCTTACCGACGATACCCCTCCACGCATCGAGTACCTTGTGCGTTGGAAGGGTTATCCTGATGAGGAGGCTACATGGGAGCCCCTCGAGCACCTGCAACACGCCCGGATGTTGGTGCGTGCATATGATCGTGCTCGTCGTGCTGAGACATATGCTCGTACTCAACCGACGGATCCTCTTCCTCCTCCTCTGGCTGAGGAGATTGCTGAGGACGAGCCCGCTCCCTCTGAGCCTGTTCTTCAGCAGCAGATGGACGCCTCCGCGCGTCCACAGCGTACTCGTCGACATCCTCGGCGTCTTGACGATTGACACTCTGATCACATACTATCATCCTACTGACTTACACCATCAGGTAGTCCATCATCAACTTCTTCAGGATGTTAACGTTTTGCAGCTCTGCTTCGACATCGACTCAAGTCCTACTTCATCGACGTTATCGACCACCTCGACGACTTTAGTCACCTTCTCAACTTCAGCCATCTTATCGGCTTCATCTACTTCGGACGTGACTACTTCACGCTACCACCCTACCCTATACATTCCCTTGCATCTGTTGCATGATGGTCTCACTTAGCTGGGTCTCGTTGAGTTGGTCTCTCCCTTGGTATCGCATAGGCATTGGAACCGTAGCGTTATCTTGGCTTCCTTGCTCCCAGATTTAGCTCCCTCCTCCCCCAGTCGGTGAGTTGTGTGCATCTTTTCCTCACCCACTGCCCTCATCACCCTAGTGTTGGCTCTTGCATGCCTTCAGTTAGGCATATCTCCACCCTATTCCAGGTTCCGGGTTTCCCCTTTTTCATGGTCGACCCTACATGGTGTCATCCTTTTGTCGAGCACTACCCACCCTGATGGTCTATCCGTTAGGGTCATTGGTTTACCACTCTCCCACTTTGAGCCTGATGACCTACCCCACCTTCGTGTGTGACTGTCCTTATGAGTTTCAATTCTTAGGCTGAATTCACCCCCTCTGAGACCATCCCACCCTTAGTGGTTCAGCGACATGACATTATCTTGTGACATATTGCTCTTTTTTTTCTTTCAGCACTGAGGCCACTGCCTCCAGAACTTTAGGATTGTATATTGCTACATTTCATTTTCTGCACTTAGCCAGGATGTGTATACCAGACATTTGTTTCCCATTCGACATTATGTAGCTTAGGCTGCATCGCAGGGATTCAGCATGGAGCTTGCTCCGTATCCTAGATTTCTCAACTTTCTTTATTGCAGAGTTCCGCTGCTTTTGCGGAGCGTGTTTATGGCTCTTGCGATCCATTACAGGTTTGAAGATCGTGTAGCGGACCTCTATCTGCCCTGGCCTATAGTTAGGGCCTATTCGACTATTTGTCAGTTCGGTCTATGGGACAGGTCGTGGCCTGACCCCACAGGCCGTGTACTATTTTTGTCCAGTCCAGTCCTGTCCAGTCAGTCCGCTAGGGGTATACCCCAACTGTACTCTGCATTTCGTCATTCTTCACTTTTGCACATCTTGGAGTACGTGGGTGTTGAATCTGCGTCGGCGCTGTGCTGTCCCTTCCAACTCCATCTCTACCTCCTCCTTCGTCAACCCTTCTTCTCCATCCTGACGGACCGCCATCCCAGCGGGTCCGGCACACCGACTCATAATAAATTAAACAATTGGAAAAACAAACACACGTCCCTGTTCGGCTGCACACTTGTTCTCAATAATGTAATCTTTGCAACATTATGGTACAAGTCTTTACTATGGCCATTGAGCAAAGCGGCCCTGAGGAACCTAAGGAAAAAGGCAACGGCTTTCCTACGGAGGGGGGATGGCGAGCAGACCAGTGTAATTAGCCGAGTGGTGTGGGATTCAATTATCCAGCCTAAGGCGAGGGGAGGCCTTAGAATAATTGACCCGGCCACTCAGGTGCAAGCATTATGTTTAAAATGGATTAAAAAACTCATCTTTGCCCCCCAGAGCCCGTGGTATGTTTTAGCTCTGGAACATTTGGCCCGGTTGGTCCCGATAACCCCCCATACGATTCACCCGCTAACATGGCTGGAGGACGGATTCTGGACGATCCCACGTAAGCTCCCACAAGGAAGGGAGGGGTTGGATGGCGGGGGTTATTCGATGGACAACTTTGACCATTTCTGTTGGATACCTGACATAAACTCTCGCACCCCAACAGGACCCACCCCGACCGTTGGGAGGAAGTCTACCAACAACCCCTCTTCGGAAATCATTTGGTGACGAATCTAAGAGGCTGCGTCATGACAAGCTCTTCCCTCCCCTTGAAAAGTTGGGTTAAACATAGGGTACTTTGGGATAACGAGAGACAAGACTGGATAACAGGAGGTCAGCTACGGGAAATCGTAAGGTACTGCCACCATGTAGAGAAATGTTTATATAACCTTATTGAGGTCATCCCACTGGAATGGTACCGAATTCTTAAACATGGCCCCCCTCTGAGGATAGTCAATTGGGTGGCAAGCACAGAGACCCCGTTGAGGATTGGCCAAATACAGATGGTCTCAACCCTACCAGTCCTGATCGAACACTACACTATCACCAATGTGGGCACCCTCCAAGGGAACAGAGCACCCCTCGAATGGAAAGAGAAAGCAACAGTGTACCGAGTTCGAGTTTTAGAGGAAAAAAAGGGACAGAGGGTCGTTTCCCAACCATTCAAACCAATCCAGGATCTGGCTCTGAACCCGGTCGAATGGACATGGAAGCCCTCCTAAAAGAGGGGAGCCCCTAACGTAGGTCATATTAGTCTGCACAAGTTGTCAGTCAAATCAACCTACAAAATGCTCAGACCTAAACGACATCTAAGAGACACGATTAATGATAAATGGGCCAGCCAACTAAATGTGGACGGCACCCTCCTGTCACCGATCCAATGCTTCAAGGAACAAAAATTTAAGCCCATGAAAATCACCTCCCTATAGTGGCAGATTGCCCACCGTTGTTTGCCAACCAACGACTGGATGACTTACCGCACGAACCTTGAACAAAGAGGTCTGCTGCTTCCATGGTGTCAGCGGTGTCAGAGTCTTTTTCACTTTCATGAGAAGGCGGAGACCATTGAACATATTTTAATGCAATGCCCGATTGCCCAATTCATATGGAGATGGTGGGACCGCATATGGCGGAAAATGGAAGTTGACATCCCCTGACCCTGGTCATGGCAAGCCATATTGGATGAGCATTGACCGTTGGCAGGAACAACCAAGACCTTCGTGGAGAATATGTATGGTTTGGGCAGGAGGGTGGTGATATGGGCACTCTAGTGGAAGAGATGCACCCTGGCAATGAAAAAAGTAAGAGTGGAAGGTTTAGAGATTACAGAACAGATTCAGCAGCATAGACCCCCGAATGACCCTGGTGGAATACTACGTGAGTACACAAAATGAAACACTAGAAGGAAGTACAACCCCCTTCGAATGGATAGATAAAACCTCTCTCTATCGGATCCGGGTTATGGAAGAGAGTGGGAAGAGGGTGGCTTACCAACCGCAATGGGCAATTCACGAATTGGCTCTAGACCCGACAAAATAGACCTGGTTGCTCCCTCTGAGAAAAGGGGGGGGTGCAGCAGGCCACATAACCCTTCACCGGTTGTCTGTCAAATCCACGTACAGGATGCTCAGGCCCAAGAGGAACCTGAGAGATGTAGTTATGGATCACTGGGTCAGGCAGCTGAATATGGACCGCTCCCTCCTGAGACCGATTCGCTTGTTTACAGACCAAAAAACTAAACCTGCGAAAACCTCGTCTCTACAGTGGCAGATAGCACACCGCTGCCTACCCACCTACGACTGGTTAATTGACCGCACTAACCTGGAACAGCGGGGACTAGCGCTACCATGGTGTCAACGATGTCTACACATGTTCCCCTCCCACAAGCGGGCAAAGACTATTGAGCATATTTTCATGCAATTCCCAATAGCCCAATTTATGTGGCCGTGATGGGACCGTGTCTGGCGAAAGATGGGGACTGTAATTCGTTGGCCATGGTCATGGCGGGCCATTTTGGTAGACCATTGGCCTTTGGATGGGGAAGCCTTAGCCTTTGTTGAGAACATGTTCTGGTTAGGTAGGAGGGCGGTGATGTGGGTTCTCTGGTGGCAAAGGTGCGTTCTGACCCTGGAAAAGGTGAGGATAGAAGGGGAAGAAATCATCGAACAAATCCAGCAACAGGTTCAGCTAATGCTGGTACGAAGATGGTCAGACACGAAATCACAACTGGACCTTTTCACACAGATCACTGACATTAGAAGAAAGATTACAACTTTTGCAAGGACCGGTTGGGAGGAGAAAGAAGGATGGGTAGCAAAGGTCACATGGGGAGGGGACAGGGAGGGTGGACCAGGAAATCTGGAAAATATGAGGGATTATAAATTAGAGTTCAAGGATTGGATTCACATATTTGCGCCCCCCCCAGAGACTTCCCAGATCCCTTTCCTCCCCATGCTCTCTCCTTATCAGAAATTCTGGTCTAAACAAGATACTTTTAAAGATTGACCTGAGGCAGGTAAGAAGACTGAAGGAGGTCCCACTGGTGCCCCCCAGTGGCTCCTTCCGGATTCTCCACAAGGCACCCAGGCAGGTAATGGGACGTTGGACCCGGTTTCCAGCCAGCATGGACTCAAGGTCTCAACACAGTTTAGGGGGAGGAACTAGCGTATAGTTGTGTATCTGGCGCCGGTTTCAGGGTGAAGAGGTTCCCCCCCCTGTCGTAATCTCCCGTCTAATATCCTGGTCAGTCAATCCCCTGGATCCCAGGGTAATCAATGCTGGCAGGGATTTCCCACAACCGTGTATCAGAGATATTGCAATCTCAGTCTGTGTAAGGGACGCTGGACCCGTTTTCCAGCAGGTGATGCTCCCCACCAATAGATGGAGCCTCTCCCCAGGTGCTAGTGGTGTCTGCTCTTATCAGCGCCACTAACACTGGCGGGGGTTAAAAAAAAATAGACCTCTTTAGACAAATTGGAGATGTTAGGAGACGGATTATAGCATTCTGCACAGACTGGGTAGGAGGGGAGAGAGAAGGATGGATTGCAAAAGTAGAATGGAGTGGAGACAGGGGAGAGGGACTGGGAGATTTGGAAGAAATGAGAGACTACCGTCTAGTTTTTGAAGACTGGACAAATATCGAACCTTCGTTCCCACTACGCCCTCCCTCGGACTTTCCAGACCCCTTCCCACCTCATGCCCTTTCTTTGGCAGAGATTCTGTCCTGAACGTTTAATCCTAACCTGGTCCCCTTTACATCCATATACATTCATATACACCCGCATAGACATACATATACTTAACTATGTAAAATAATTATGTACAATCATGAACACCTATAAATGTCCACATATGGAGCTCCTCCCTGGAGCCCCTTGGGGAGGACTCCGCTGATGTACACATCTGTCTCTTATTTGCTGCTCAGTTGACCCGCTTTTTCATTCACTTGGGTAGTCAATGCTGGCAGTCTGAGTACCCTGAGTAATCTGTTCTTTTCATGTCTAATGTGACGCTGGACCTGGCTTCCAAAAAAGAGTGAAACAGAAGGATTGATAGTGCGGGAGGAGGGGGTTAAGCTTTTCGGGTGAAAGGTAGTCGGGAAAGGGAGGAACCAGTCCCTCAGCAGTAGGAATCCAGCGCCTCGTACAGGGCGAAGAGGCCTCTTCCCTTTTTCTCAACAACCTGCACAGTCAATCCTCTGGAGACAGAGTAATCAATGCTGGCAGGCGTCCTTCTCGGTCATAGTTTCCTGATAGTCTCCTGATTCATGTTGTGTAAGGGACGCTGGACCCATTTTCCAGCTGGTGACGCTCCCCACCAATAGATGGAGCCTCTCCCAGGGTGCTAGTGATGCCTGCTCTTATCAGCAGCACTAGCACTGCAGGGGGCGTGTTTCAAAAAAAAAAAAAAAAAAAAAAAAAAAAAAAAAAAGAGACCCTGGAGAATCTTTTAACCTTGTGTTGTATGGTAATCTGTGAGAGCTGACAACCCTCCGTGCCTTAACATTCTAAATGTCAATGCAATTATCTTCCCCACGACCCTCCAGTTCATTTGGTAGATGCTCTCTTTGATGGTTTTCCTGGCCATTATGTTTCTTATGATTTTTTGCCAGTGGAGCGGCAGCATGGAGTCAAAGATTGGCGTCCCTACTCACACCAGGACTTTTTCGATTTCTGTCTTGATGTAATTGCGGCCAGGTGCATCCAGGCTGGGCCAGAAAAGTGGTCACATACATCCACGAAAGTCCTAGTGTGAGTATGCCCTGTGTTTCCCATATTCCTATGCAAAGTTCTCTGTCACCTCCCAATCTTCCCTCCCCCTGCCTAGTTTCTTGATTATATTTTCTCTCACTTCCACTTCCTGGTTGGGTGGGGGTGTCTGTTTTCCCTGGGGATGAGGTGTCCTTCCTCCTCTTGTGGCTCGGACGTGGGTATAATTTCCTCCCGCTCCTCCATGCCATCATTGGGTTCCCCTTGTTGGGATCTTGACATCGTTGTATCTTCATCACTTTCTTTCTGTTCATACTCCACTTTCTTTCTGTTCGTACTCCATTCATACTCCATTCGTACCCCCTCCTTGCTCCTCTTCTTTCTGTGATTGTTTATGTTGAGGGTGCTCCTGATCCTTTCATTTGCTGTTGTTGCTGGTGTTGTGATAGCTGAATGTATAGGTACTGGGTCTGGTGCCATCTCCGACTGCTGTGTTATGTGCTGCCGCAGCCGCTGCTGTTGAAATTGTTGCTGTTGCAGTTACTGCTGTCGGAGATGCCCCTCGTGGAGGAGATCGTTGGGGAACCTGCAGTAGGGACTGTCTGAGGGGGATCCTCCGAGATAGGATTGTTGTGTCCCGTCCTAATACAAGACTCTAACAGTGAGCCTAGTTCATGACAGAAGTAATGGAAAGGATGGTGGCCTAGTACATACTAATGACGGAGTGTTACATGCTGCGCCTGAAACAGGCTGCACGGGCCACTTTCAGGCCCGTGACGTTTTCAGGCCAAAAGCCTGAAAACAAGGGCCTACAGGCCCCGTGCCGTTTCAGCCTGAAAGCCTGAAAACAAGGGCCTACAGGCCCTATGTCGTTTCAGCCTAAATCAGTGCCTTTCCGGCCCTGAGTCTTTTCAGCCTGAAACTGATGGCCATTTTCAGGCCCTCATGAGTTCAGCCTGCCCCGAAACTCAGGCACCTAACCAGGGTTTTAGCTCAGGCCATTTTTGGCCTATTTTCAAGACAACCTTCGTTTGAGCTTCAACCCCAGGGTCTGGCAAGTTTTGGCATTGGCAAGAGCAGCCTCCTGGACGGGCCAGCACTATAAAGGACTGGCCCGCCCTGCAGGCTGCAGGTAGTTCCTAGGTACTTCCCAGGCACTTCACGTGCAGTTCAGGAGGCAGGCGGTAGTCTTCAGGATTCGGCAGCAGCACTCTGGAGGAGCGCTGCAGGAGTAGTAGTAGCGTTAGCAGTAGTCTTCAGCGCTGGGCGCCATAGCTAGAGTAGTACTATAGGGAGAGACATTGGGTGGAGGCCAGAGGGACTTACCTGCAGCGCCATCGCTCCAGCTTCGTCTTCAAGGTACCGGCAGCACAGTGCCACCTTCACAGGTTAGTACCTGACATATGAGAGAGAGAGAGAGAGAGAGAGAGAGAGAGAGAGAGA